GTTTGCAATGCTGTTCCTCCAGAGCCTAAGAAACTCCCCTTCCAAACACACGAGCATAAAATGACTCGTGGATGAGTAGCTGTGAGTAGCAGCCTTCAGGAGAGCAGCTGCTTAGGCCCTAAATGGTGTAGCCTAAACTAGATTTGCATTCATCGTATAACCCTGGCTGGTCTCAAACTTTGGGCTACCACCCTCCCTCAGTTTCCTGGGTGGTGGAGCAAATGGACACCCCATGAGTGGTTTATACTGGTCTAAGTACTCGTGTTTACAAACCATAGACCTGTGTGGTGCAAAAACTAGCAAGTGCAGCTTCTTCCTCTTGGATGTTTAAAGCCTGAGACTGCTCCCCTACAGAGACCTCCTACCAAGACGAGCTAACTACTCACCCCATGCTCTACCTTAGGGTCCAGTTCAGTGGTTCCGTCAGAGCAGCACAGACCACCTGAGCCCAGCTCTTCTGTACATGTGTCTGTTTCTATCTTTTCTCCATCCCCTCACTACCCAGTCGGGGTTCCAGACCCAAGCCAGGAGGGTCACAGCCGTGTACAATATATATAAGGAGTATATCTAACCACACAGCTGTACTTTTATATGGCTGGCAGTGCAGGTTTGCTCACACCAGCATCCCACAAGCATGTGAGTTGTGCATTATGGTCTATGATAACAACCGTGTTTCATCAGATGGAAGGATTTTTTTTTTTAGCCCCGTGGAATGACCATCATATTTGTAGCACATCGTTGGCTGTAATGTCATCTTGTGGCACATACGTGTATCTGAATGGGTGTGCAGTTCTCTGGCCTTCCAATGAAAAGCCAAGGCGGCTTCTGAGGTCGCCCTTTTGATGGCCCAGGATTTTGGTCTTCCCACCCCTGAATAATGATGCTGTTAGTGCTGCCCCCCTACACAGCATCTTATACACAGCTTTCAGAGCTGGAAAACTAACGCCAAATTCCACAGTTACCTCCCAGGTTACTTTTTTTTATTCTGTTCCCAGCTAGATAAATGGCCCTGTCTTCTTACAGGTTTATGCCTCCATGCACGTTTTTAATACAAATTTGACCTAGGTTCTCTAGTTTTCTCCAGAGGTTTATTGAAATGACCCCATCTATTCCTATTGACAGTGGAGACCCTGGAGTCACCTCTCAAGTTGCCAGATCCCTTCAACTCCACCATGAATCCTCGCTGGGAAGGACAGACTGTGCAGCTGTCGCTTTGTAGCCGTGGGTCCCAACACACAGCGAGTGCTTTACCGACCTTTACAGCGGTTTGGGTTCTTGATCTCAAGTGCCAAACTGATCCTGGGTGGCTTAAGTTGCTCACAGGGAATCAGCCATGGCGACTATGAAGCCAAGAGCAATCCAAATTCCACAGCTGGCCCAACTGATCACTTTGTAAGGCCAAACCCCGCAGCTTGTAACACCAGCGTTACCAAAGTTAGATGCCACTCATGCTCCAGGTGTTCTCGGGGAAAGTGGTGACTGCTGCTCAAAAGAACTATTGGGGAAAGGGATGGAGAGAGGGTGCTGAAGGAAATCAGGGAGGGAGAGCAGGTGGAGTGTGTGATGGTGTTTGGAGAAGGCTGACTCCTAGAGGAGCTTAATGGAATTACATCTATTCTTGATCCAGTCATTGCCATCACTGCATTTCTGGGGAGGCAGAAGATACAACTAAGCCCATCCTGGACCAAATCTGTGACCCCCTTCTTTCCTGGACTTAGCATCCCCTACTTAAGAGCACCAGGACCCTCCACACACCCCTTTCCCTGTTGTTATTCGCCGAACTTAATTCTATTACTTTCAAAGGATCCACAGTAGAGAGCTGCTAGTGAAAATTCTCTTTCCCTCCTACCTGCACAGATGCAGGTTAACAATAAGAATGTTTCTTTAGAACGCCTGGGTAGGATTTAGAAACCCCTGCTTAGCCGCCACCTGGTTCTCAGCCACCTTGTCCATGAGCACAACGCTCCTAAGACTAAGAAGCAAATACATGTATGGGAGCCTGGGGTGATTTGCCCGTGCTGCTGATCGGTCATGCTTCTTTTCAAGGCATTTAAAAACTTACATTTGTGTGTGTCTGTGTGTTTGCGAGTACGCATGTGCGTATGTTTTATGGCACACATGTGGAGACCAGAAGACAACCCACAGGAGTTGGTTCCTCCTTCCCATCATGAAGCCTCTATGCAGGGCTCAGAAATCAAACTCAACAGCAGGACCGGTGGCAGGTGCCTTTGCCTGCTGAGCCATCTTGCCAGCCCAGGAGGGGTTTCTGTTTGTTTTTAATACGCTTGACCAAAAGCTCTACCCACAATACGAACAGAATAAAATATCTACCATCCAGAGGCCAGGGGAGAACTTCATTTCAGTCCTTAGTTTACTTTTATGAAGCTGCCAGGCCATCTTCAATTTTCTTAACTCCTTCCAGAATCTTCCCATATTTGCTTGTGTTATGATTAGGGTCTTTCAAGAGTCAATGCTGATAGAGATTGGAATCTGTCATTTTGCCAAGGACTACAGGTCCTCTGTCCACACATTTTAAAGGTTATATACTGTTCTTATAGATATAATTTATATGAATTAGATCTATTTTTATAGACATTTGGGTGATCCACTTTTTTCTTTATACAAACAAAACTGTAAAGAACATCTGATTATTTACTTACAGGGGGGAAATATTTGACCAAAGAGAATTTTTAATTTTGATGTTTCATCAAACTTGTATCAAATCAGAATCAACTGCGCGTGTATGTATTTTTTCACATTTCCTTTTTAAGGGTTATTTTTAGTTATGTGTATCTGTGTGTGTGAGAATGTGGGTTTGTGCACATGATGGCCGTCTCTCTGAAAGCCAGAAGAGGGTGTCAGAGGCCCTGGAGCTGGAGTTACAGGGAGTAAGAACTGCCCAATGTGTATGCTATAAAACAAACCTGGGTCCTTTGCAAGAGCAGTATACACTCTCAACCACTGAGCCATCTGTCCAGATCCATATTTTACCCCTTTTCATTAAGCCTGCATGTTACCAAATGCTTTAATCTTTGCCAGTAAAAATTTATTTATTTATTGTGTGATGTATATGTGTTCATATTTGTGTATATGTGTATGAACATGCATGTGTACATATGTGTGCATATCTATGGAAGTCAGAGGTCAACATCTGGTGTCTTCTTCAGTCATTCTCCACCTTAGTTTTTGAGGCAGGATCTCTCACTGTGAGCATGGAACTCACTGGTTTGGTTGCACTGGCTGGTCAGTGAGATCCAGGGATCTGACCCCCTAAGCCTTACTCTGCACTCAGTTACAGACATGCGCCAGTTTTTATATGGAGGCTGGGGATCTGAATTCAGGTCCTCATGCTTATGTGGCAAGTCCTTTACTGAGACATATATATGTGTCCCAGCCCCAGAGAATATCAATGAAAATGACAAGTACCATGTCTTTATTCATAAGCAGAATCTAGATTTTAAAAATATGACAAGAAAGATGAAGGAGAAAAGTGAGTGGGCTCCGAGATTACAGACCACACAGCATTTCTAGTTTTCTCTCGTTTCCTCATGCTTCAGTTCCCTGCTCCTGCTGCCGTGCCTCCCCACCATGCTGGCTACTTATCCCTCTGGACATGGACTTTACCAAATAATTTCACCATCGGAAGTCAGTAGTGTTGTATGGTCTTAGAGCTCCCTCTGGTGGTAGAGCTGCAGACTGACTGACGGTGTCCTTTCAAAATCCAGTGCCTCCCTGCTCACAGTCTGACGGCCAGCACAGGACCATCATCCACTCAGTTTCCAAAACACGCTGCCCACTCACTTCCTACATTCTAATTGGGCTTCCAACATCATAAACATTGTTTAAGATCCAAAAGTCAGAAAGCAAACTCGACGAGTTAGAAGGGAAAATGCTGTATTACTTGCGGTGATGCCTATTAAGCACCTGTGAACAGAGTATCTCTCTTGCACTAGCCCATAATAACAGCCACTTCTTTGTTACTTATTCCTTACCTCTGGCCTCTTCACTAGGTCTTGTGCATCTCCTGCCGAGGTTAACTAGCAGACACCAATACAAAATTCCAGCCCATAAATGCAGTCACCCAGATTCAAAAGGGTTATGTAATCTGTGTAAGGTCACAGTTTGTAAATGGCAGACCTGAGAGTCCGGCTGAAGTCCACTAGTCTCACTGTATTCCACATGCAACTGCTACTTATGGAACAGTCTCCTAAACAGTGTTAGTAAAATACTACCTGACCAAGCATTTTAATAATAACTGTTGTTATTAATAAGCTTTCCCTGTTTTGTATTAATAACAGCTAATGACTATCAGCTGTTTTCTCTGTGGTGGCCATTGTTCTAAGAGCATTATACAACCGAACTCATTTCAAACTTATGATACTGGTACTGGCATTACTATCCCTGATTCTACATGAGGAGGCTGAGGAGGTAAGTAGTTCAATTTCGCCAAGATAGTAATTCCTATTTTCATTCAACCTGTAGAAGAGCATCTTCCTTGCTACGGTATAGAGTAGGAGCAAGCTTATTTTCAGAAGATCTGGGCGTTGGGGGTGTTAGTTTATAGGAGAAAAGGACTAATGTCTCTATACATTAGTGACCTCTGGTGTAAGGGGAGAGCGGGGGTGCTGTATATGAGCAAATGAAGATCCAGAAACAGAAAAGATAGGATCCATCAGGGGTCCGACTAAGATGAGACAAGAACAGGGTACCAGGAGTAGTCCAACACAGAAAGGGTTTTATGAGGAAATTTTGTTAAGAGCTTTTCTTGAGTAGACAGTGTAGAGCTGTGTAAACTGTCCCGGTCTCTTCCCTATGAAATCCTGGTAAGTTTTATGTTGCTACTTTGTGTTAAAACCCTAATTTTAGGATAGAGAGCTCAAAAGACAATGTAGAATGCAACCCATGGCTTTGACATAAATTGAAATAGCCCCATGTGCTCTCGAAGGCAAAAGGTATTAAGCATTTTGGAGAAAACAAGGAAAAGACTTTCCACGCATGTATATCTTTAAAAAAATGTATTTATTTGGTATAGAGTGTTCTGTCTGCATGTTTGCCTGCATGTCAGAAGAGGGTGCCTGATCTCATTACAGATGGCTGTGAGCCACCATGTGGTTGCTGGGAATTGAATTCCAGACCTCTGGAAGAGCAGCCAACGCTCTTAACCGTTGAGCCATCTCTCCAGCCCCCCCCCCCACACACACACACATGTATATCTTAGAAATCATTGTTGTACACAATTTTTCACAGACCTTGAAAGAACAATACTCAATTTCATATGGAGAAACAAAAAACTCAGAATATCTAAAACAACCCTGTACAATAAAGGAACATTTGGTGGGATCATCCTGACTTCAAACTCTACTATAGAGCTATAATAATAAAAAACAGCTTGGTATTGGCATAAAAATAGACATCTGGAACCAAACAGAAGGCCCTGACATTAATCCACATACCTATGAACACCTGATTTTTGACAAAGAAGCAAAAATGGTACCATGGAAAAGGAAAAGAATCTTCAACAAATGGTGCTGGCATAACTGGATACCACCATGTAGAAGATTGCAAATAGATGCACAAAACTCAAGTCCAAGTGAATCGAGGAACTCAGTGTGAAACCAGTTACATTGAACCTGATAGAAGGGAAAGTGGGAAGTAGCCTTGAATGCATTGGCACAAGAGACCAGTAGCACACAGTTTTGGGGGGATTGTGGCAGGTGACCCTTACTGTCTGGATGGCTGTGAATGGATCCCAGACGCCAAGCATCAAACTCTTGATACTGGTTAATTTTGGGATGATTTTATTTGATTGTGACTGCGCATGCCCTGGCTCTTCCCTCTTGGAGGAAGAAAGGATTTAGCTGTTTTCTTTAGTTTTGTTCTTGTTTCATCTTCCAGGAGCCCATGGTTAGAGACACTTTGGATATTCTAGAGACACTTTGGATTCTAAAGAGGCTTTGAACTTTGAAAGAGTCGATATTTTAAAGACTGAACTTTAAAGACTGGGGTCTTTACATTGTCATATTAATATCAGCATGACACCATGGAAGAGCAAGACAGGCTATGGCTTAGTAAGTGCTGTATTCGTGTGTCAAGTTGACAAGGGGCGGATATTATGGTCAGTTTTCATGTCAACTCTACACAAGATCGGGTCATCTGGGAATAAGGAATCAGAGTTGAGAAAACGCCTCTGTAATAATTAGCCTGGAGACAAGTCCGCAAGTCATTTACTTGAGTGACGATTGATGTGGGAGAACCCAGCCCGTTGTGCTTGATGGCAGAGCGACCCTGGGGTTTATAAGAAATGAAGCTGGGTCAGCGATGGGGGCAAGCCAGTAAGTCATGTTTCTCCACGGGAGGAAGGGAAGGAGTGGAAACTGGGATTGGTAAAAAAGATAGTTTATTTTCTTTTATGAAATAAATTATATAAAAAAGAAGAAAAGTAACTAAGACAGTAACTTTGAAATCAGTTTGTCATGATCCACTAAATATCATTCTAAATATCATACCAAGACTAACCTGTTGAAACAAACTAGAAGCCTGGGAGAGGGAAAAGTAGGATGTTTTATTATTTTGAGGAGCAGTCATAGTGGGGCTATCACAGCTGAAACTTGAGGTATTTAGAGTTCAGCATTAAAACCACACGGGGTGGAGGGCTGGGGCTGCCTAAGCGGAGGTGAAAGGGGAAATGAACTGTTGGTTTAAGAACAAACCCTGCCTTCCCTCCCACTTCGCTGAGGAATCGGACCACAGCGTATCTCACAGGCAAACTAGAACCGACTTCCAGCCCAAGCCGCAGGCATCTGATAACCTCTGATAACCTCCACGAACGTGGCGTATCTTCCTACGGGCATGCACTGCACATGCACATGGGTTCGGTAAATATTACAATTTCCTTAATCGGCTCAATAGTTTCAGAGGCTGCTTAATGAAGTGTTAGGAATAAAAGATAGACCATTACTAGATTATGACCACTTATCAGTTTAACATAAAGTCACAATTTTATTGGGAAAATTTGGATCCCAGCCTACGATTTTCATCAGAATCCAAAATGAGGTAGCAAAATGTACTAGTGGCTGGTAGTGAGGGAGGACGTGTGGCTCGTTATGGTAGCAGTGGTCACATTCTTACTAGGGTGTGTGTGTGCATGTGCGTGTGCGTGTGCATGTGTGTGTGTGTGTGTGTGTGCGCGTGTGCATGTGCGCATGTGTTCAACACTGCACCTTTTGTCTGCAATCAGACTGACTGGGAAGCATAAAGACTCACATTTGACTTTTTAATCGAAACGTTCTGCCATTACATTACTCACATCCAAGTCTGTACAGGTCTGGGATCTTCTTCCTAGTGGAGTACAGGGCCAGGTGAGGACATTTTATTGAAAGCTGAGCACAGTCAGGCTGCCTTAGGCTTAAGAGTTTCTGGGTTTTGTCCTTGGAGGAGTTCCGGATCTTCCCAGGGCCTCGGGCCTCGAATATTCTTCCAGTCTTCAAAAGTGGAGTCCTTTATTTTCTATAGAACCATGAAGTTAAACACATTAGTACCGATGCCCAGGGGCTTTGGATGAGGCATTGCTGAGGGCTGAGTAGGGAAGGAAAAACCCAACAGGCTTCCGGACAAGTTCGGGAAATAAACCAACTCCAAAGCAAGCTCAAGAACTTCCTGAGGTTCAGAACTCTCCTGGCTTGTTGTGGAGAGACTTCACATCTACCTTTCCCCATAAGGACAGACTATTACTGACAGAAGGCGTCTACCCTCTGTTTCCGAGAGCACAAAGAAGGGAGGGGCTGGGCAAAGAAGAGTAGACGTAAAACTGCTCTAGCATAGCAACAGCTGAAGGACTGGTGTGGGTCACCGCGGACAAGACCCTGACGTCTTCACAAGAAAGAAAAGGACCAAGCTCCTTCTTCTGTGCCTGAGAAACGACGCTGGGCTTCAGATTGAAGCCGCTCTCCACGGGCAACCTGAGGGAACTCACTCATCAGCGAGCAAACTACCCAACTACACTTTGGAGCATCCCCACTTCACGTAGTCTCGAATGTCTTGAGCACAGGAAGAAGGCAAGAGAAAAGGGATGGACGGAAAAGGTCCCTTATCCTCTCGAATGGTCACTTCTATACACCTGCCTCTGGCCTGGAATAACTAAGGAGGAGAGGAAAAGGGCTAGGAGAGATCAAGGGGCAATTTAAATCCAAACATGGAGAAAATGATCTATGTTTCCCTTCATGTTTAGATCTAAGTATCAACTAGGTTATCCGCTCTTTTACTGACTGCAATCTTTAGCATGTAGCAAGGCCGCCTTGGCATCGACTCTTTTTTCCCCACCCTGGAAACGGGGTTTTTCTGCATAACAGCCCTAGCTGTCCTGGAACTCACTCTGTAGGCCAGGCTGGCCTCAAACTCACAGAGACCCACCTGCCTCTGCCTCCCAAGTGCTGGGATTAAAGGCGTGCGCCACCACCACCTGACTGGCATCGACTCTTATTGTAAGTGACTGCTAAAAGGTGAGACAAAATATTCTATATTTGGCTCTTAACTCCTATCGTTTCTACAGAACTACAAGGAAAATCTACTCCCAGATAAAGCCTCCAGAGCATCACTGCCCACAAAGCACTTACTTCCTCAAGCAGACAGTTCAAGGTTTTTACCAAATGACAGGAAAGCAGTAAATGAAAGCATTTTTCTTGAAAAGTCAGGATCACATATATATGGATGTACAAAGTGCTATTAATTTAGCAAATAAGTATTTTCAAGTATAGTTATGAAACTATCTAAACTTTAGATCATTTAGATTCTCAAGGTAGTAAAAGGTCTTTTGTGTAGTTATTTCTGTTGTTTTTTTTTTTTTTTAGATATTGTCTATATAGCCCAGGCTAGCCTTGAACTCACTATGTAGCCTAAGTTGGCTTTAAACTATCAGCAATCCTAATGCCTCAGTCTCCCCAAGCACTGGAATAACAAACATGGGCCACCAGTCCAGGGAGAAGGTGTTACTAGAGCAAGCCACTCTCCAGATACATCAACGTACACGTGCTCACGGGAATTTGAAATAATTCTTAAGCTGTGAGCCAAGGTTGGCAGGACAGAGTCATGAGAACATGCTGTCTTTAGAGGTCATGTACAGGAAGAACTCCTGGTAGACAATCTGTAAACCATGCAATTGGCTGAACACCAGGCTGTGCGCGTGTGCTAGGCATGACCCAAGCCTCCCCCTAACACCCAGCTACCACAGGACTGAATGAGGAGCCTAAGACATAGTGAGGAAAGCATTGGGAAGCTGGGGGAGGGGGGAGGGGCTCCACACCCCCGCCCACCAGAGTGCAGACCTCTCCTCGGTACTCGCTGCTCCTGACACCCAGCTAAGACACTGAAAGGCCACTGTTGCTCAAGAGTTAAGCTTACTTGAGGCTCACCCACGCCAAATTTAAAACCAAGCCTGGACAATGCCCTGGCACAGGTGTCACCAAGTTACCAGGCCAAGGAAACAACAGGGCTTGTCCCCAGATTCCCCTTTACAGAACAAACCAAGCAACAAAGAGCTTCCAGGTTTGGAGCAGCTCAGATTTGTAGTGCTTCATGGTGACATTTACCTGAAAAGCTATAATCTCCAGCACTTCCGGTTCGAGTTCTTAGGTAATTTACCATATGTCACACAGTCAGATTAAATTTATTCTTTGTTCACTGCTGATTTATCTTGAGGAATAGAACCAGTGATGACTAGTTAGACTGTTACAAACAGAGAATATTAACATACCATACCTCATATTCTGACTCTAAAGTTATTTTATTCCCTTTCAACTTTTTTTCCAATTCAGGATCAACCTGTAGAAAAGAAAAAAAATAAACATACATTATTAAAATCTTTTACATTCATTGTTCACTTTAATTTTGTTTTCATTTTTTACTTTTAAAAGTCACAGGTGAGCTGAAGCCTGGTGGCACACGCCTTTAATCCCAGCACTGAGGAGGCAGAAACAGGAGGATTTCTGTGAGTTTGAGGCCAGCCTGGTCTACATAGTGAGTCCTGAGCCAGCCAGGGACACAGTGAGACCTTGTCTCAAACAAAGTCATAGGAAAGCTGGCTGGGACAGTTCAGTCCATTGAAAGCAGATGTGGAAATCTCTCCTCTCCTCTCCTCTGTAGTAATTAGGACACACCGCCACTAATAGCCACCGATGCACACTGAGCATTGGTACTAGACACCTGCCACACCATCTTGTTTAATGCTCACAGAACCTGTGAGATAAACGTGAACTTCATCCTCATTATTACATGTCAGGAAACCTGGCAGACGCTTGAGTAACTTGTGAAAGACGCATGTGCAGTTGAGCACTGGCCTTCTGCCTCCAGAGGCAGCATTATTCACCAGCCATGCAGATTTTGTAGCACAGAAATATTTAAAGGGCTACTATATAATGCACCTAAAAAACAAAAGAACCCCTTCCACGGATCGAACAAAGAGCAAGCAATAGAATATTTAGGGTTCCCCAGAGGTCTACTGAAGCGCATACCTGCTACCTGCATGTCACCCAGAAGAGTGTGACAGTGAAACAAACCAGGAAATGGACTAGCTGCGCGTGCATGACTAAGAGCAGCCTGTGAGCAAAGTGCTGAGCCGGGGGACAATGCCAGGACTCCATGATACATAGATGGAGACAAATGACACAGATCCAAACAAGGTATGTTAGGACAAGCAGATCCAAAAACCCCAACACAGGCATGCCTGAGAATCCAGAATTACATCAGCACTACTGGTCACACGCCATTTCTGCCTTATCAGTAAACATCATCCCATTGTACATTTCCATAAGCCACTTTCTTGTGCTTCTATTTCCTGTACAAAGTAAGAGTAAAAAGGATCCAATGATGTCAAAATAATTTGTGAAACAGGAAAAAAAATCAAATAAAATCAAATAAAAACTCAATTAAGTCTTCAGTTTAAGGCGCAACAGAGAAAAATGCCACTATAATAAGAGGGTTTTCTAAGAGCTGAGAATTGGAGCTGCAACCCATTTTCCCCTTGGCTATACTTGCCAAGCCAGGAACAAGTACAGAATCATAACCAAGGGTTAGTGTGACAGCCAGGTATCATATGGTGCGCTCAGATATGAAAACTGTGGAAAAAATAAGGACAGAAAGTAAAAGGATTATTGGAAAGGTGTATTGGAAAAGGGGAGAGGAGAAGGGGGATAAGGAAGGTCCTAGGGGAGCCAATATTCTCAAAGCACATTACATACATGTATGGAAATGCCACGATGAGGCTTATCACTCTGTGCAGTTTATATGTTAATTTAAAAATAAGAGGAGCCACAGCTGGAAGGCAGGTAGATGCTGCTACTGGGGGCTAGAGAAATCATCACACAGGGCTATAGTAACAAACACAGAAAGCAAATGACACATGACAGAGATCTAGCACCTTCAAAGAAATCACTATATTCTAAACTCCCTAAGACAGGTATATAGCTAAGCTGAAAATCTCTGGAAAGTAGAGGTGAGCTTCCTGGATCCTAACTGAAAGTCATATAGTGACAGTCTGGTCTTAAGAACAAGCGCGAGGAAGAGATGCACAAAGGCTAACTCCAACTTTAAACAAGCCAGGCAGGACCCAGCTCACACCCAAGTGTTAAGGGGACCAGATTCCCGCTCTACCACTTAGGAAAAAAAAAAAAGATAAATTGTTTCTGAAGGAAAGCAATACCATCTAGAACATCTACAGCTACTTATAAACAATAATCAATATTTAACTGAAAATAGTTGTAAGACATATTCAAAGTCATATGGTCAAAAATGAAGAAAAATTAAATAATTATATCCTTATAAAAGATGGGCCTTTTGAGTAATTATAATTCACAAAGAGTTTAGGAAAAAGGGATAAAGTGTAACATTATGGAAAATTTCTCTAGAGTATTGAAATACATAATCAAGAATTAAATGAACAGCTGAGAAGTGAAAAATATGTACCAGATCACAAAGTCAAAGGATGGGTTTAGTAAGAAAGCGAATGTAACAAAACACAGATTTAGTGATGAGAAGATAAGACATCAGAATCCAGCGATGGGCATATATACAAAAAGAGTTAGGTTCTTAAAGCCCGTGCACTTACACATAATTTAACAGATCACACAACAACTCTTAACAGCCACCTGCAGCTAGCCATAGTTTAACAGAAACATGCATTCTGTAGCTCTTACAGCCCTTGAACTTAGGCCTAGTTTAATAGTACACTCTATGGACTTTAAAGTCCCAAGTAGAAAGCAGAAAGAAAACTGGGGGCGGGGGCATTTTATAAACATCAAGCTTTTTGTTTTATGCTTCCCTTTTCTTTTGCTTAAAATCTTCAAAGAATAAAATGACAATTTGAAACTCCATTTCCCCCCTATATTAGACTGCCTAAGAGTTAAGGAAAACATTTCTTGCTTCCATGATTCAATGTCTCTCTGTCTCTCTCTGTCTCTCTCTCTGTCTCTCTCTCTCTGTCTCTCTCTGTCTCTCTCTCTGTCTGTCTCTCTCTCTCTCTCTCTCTCTCTCTCTCTCTCTCTCACACACACACACACACACACACNGTCTCTCTCTCTCTCTCTCTCTCTCTCTCTCTCTCTCTCACACACACACACACACACACACACACACACATTGGGCTGCAGGTCAAACCCAGGACTTTCTGCATGTTAAGCAAGTGCTCTACCGCTGAGTTCCACCCCTAGCTCAAGCTACCACTGTGTATAATAGAATAGAAAGGATGACCCATGATAAGACTGAACAAGATCAACTTTTGTTCACCACTAAGCTATATTTAGTTCTACCTTTTCTAATCAGAAAAATGTAATTTTAAAAAGTAGATCAGTCAAAGTATAATAAATTAGTGTGGTATGCACAAGTTAACGCAACAATTACTATTTGAGGTTAAGAATTGGTATTTTAAGATGAACCGATTTAAGATTGACTTGTAAGTACTTGTCTGTCTTGTACTGGATATGTGAGATCCAGTATTCTTATGTGTTCCAATCCCTGTATCCAATATGAATGAAATAAAATTTATGCCCTGGCAATGCTGAAGCATGGGCAGCCTGTATATGGTGGTTTGGTTGAACTTGTCCATATTGGGTTTCATGGTCTAAGTCGATGAGGACAACTGACCAGGTCTCTTCCTCAAAAGGGCACCAGATCTCATTACAGATAGTTGTGAGCCACCCTGTGGTTGTTGGAAATTGAACTCAGGACCTTTGGAAGAGCAAGCAGTGCTCCTTACTGCTGAGCCATCTCTCTAGACTGCAATTTCTTTTTGCATATGGTGCAGTAGACTATTTTGGCTATTTAACTCCCTAATCCAGCTGTCGGTGTCCTTTTCATCTGTCATTATAGTAACAGAATTATTTAGCTTTCTTTTCCAGTGATGTCTGGATCATATAACACTGCTATTATGGTTATCCTTATTTTCATTGTCTGATCTTAAAAATAGGGCCACAATATTTACATTAAATATTAAGATAGTAGTATCTTTTAACAAAGCACAATGGATAGGCAAGTCAAAGACTGTCCTATTCACAAGTGCCTTACTTAAAATACACACTTAGTCATATTACTTGGAGTGATGTAGCAATGGAGGGTCCATTACCAAGGTGAACAATGTCTGTATTGGCATGTGATGATACATTACATATCACTCAGAAAAACCTTCACATATCAAGTATACGCTCTCTCTCCCCAAATTACAACATACTTCTCAATGAATGAACCAGAGTTCTCATGTAACTATGTGGCATAAATTTGACAGTGAATGTCTAATTACAGAGGATGAGAATCCTAGTTTTCTTCTGGAATGGTCAACTGACTGTATGCAAGATAGTATATATTACTAGCATTAAAATAAAACACTGAATTTATAATTTAGAGAAATAATGAAGTAAGATTGTTTGTTTATGTTCTTTAGCTCCCTATAAATCCTAAAAGCAACTACATATGAGACTATTTTGGGGGAGAAACAATGATATTACAAATTCCCTAGTGAATACAAAGAACTGTCACCAAATGCTATATATGGTTGGCTTTCATGGCCTCATTAGTGATATTTTAAACAAGGGAAGGCTCAAAGATCATCTATTAGGTTTTTCAAGACAGATTAATATTGCTAAATGAAGTGAGCATATAATTCTCGTAACCAAAAACCATACACTTGGACACAAGTCAAACACCAATCACAGTTCTTACCTTAATCTTCACAGCATCATATCGAATCTGTGAAAATTCACGCAGCCCAAAGGAACCTCCAACAACCAGCAACTGAAACAAAAGAAAGGAACAGCTGTATGAAATAGAAGGGCAGCCTCAGCCGAGCTCAATCAATTAACAGAGCCTAAGACAGAATATAAAAAACTATCGAAAATTATTACTATCATTTAAAAGTAGATGTGGGGGGTTGTCCTCAAAGGCATTCCAGGGACCCCTGAAACCTGTAGCATGAATAATAAAAACCCAGAGAAAGAAATTGGGGTTCAACCTGAAATAAGCAAAGCAGCCAACCACTAGAAAACCCTTTGACCTCTGTCAAATCTTCGGACGGAAGGGGCGAGAGAGATCCTGTCTTCACAAATCCTCAAACTCCATACTACACTGAGTTACTTCTCTTCCTCTTTATATTCCTCTCTCCGCCCAGCCATATCACTCCTGTCTCCAACTCCCTAGTACTGGGATTAAAGGTAGTGCTGGGATCACCTTTGTGTGACCTCTGCTTCTCTTTTAGACAGATTCAATCTTGTGTAGCCCAGGGTGGCCTTGAACTCACAGAGATCCACCTGCCTCTGTCTCCTGGGATTAAAGGTGTATAACACCATTCCCTGGTCTGTATGGCTGACTAGTAGGCTGCTTTACTCTCTGATCTTGTCAGGCAAGCTTTATTAAAACACAAATAGTATACCACTACAGAAACCTGGACAAATACTAAACCCTAAATATATTATGTATTTTCCTATACATATATACCTTTTATCAAAGTTTAATTTTCAAAACAGGTACAATAAGATTAGCAACAATAATGAAGTACAACAGTGATGATATATTGTAATAAATGCCATGTAAAGCTTATGAATTACTCATACCTGGAACTTTTCATGTGATTTATTTTCTTTTCTTTATAACAACTGAGACACAATAAGTAAAACCTCAGTAATGGAGGCTACTATGCTATGCTGGAAAATTTATAATAGATTTTTACTGAAGGCTATACATCAACCCCATATATGTTTTTTTTAAAGTTTAACTTCTTTTTTTTATATTTATTTATTATGTATACAATAGTCTGTCTGTGTGTATGCCTGCAGGCCAGAAGAGGGTGCCAGATCTCAGTACAGATGGCTGTGAGCCACCATGTGGTTGCCAGGACTCGAACTCAGGACCTTGGAAGACCAGTCAGTGCTCTAACCACTGAGCCATCTCTCCAGCCTCCCATATATGTTTTTGACTTTTCTGGTTTACTGGGTTTCTTTTTTTTTTTTTTTTTTTTTTGAGACAGGGTGTGGTACTCTGAATAAGAACGGCACCCATAGGCTCATATATTTAAATGCTTAGCCATCAGGGAGTGGCATTACCTAGAAAGATTAGGAGGTGTGGCCTTGAAGGAGGAAGTATGTCACTGGGGGTGATCTTTGAGGTGTCAGAAGCCAAAGCCTGGGGTGTCTCTCTCTTTCTGCTACCTGCAGATCCAGATGTAGAACTCTAGGCTATTTCTCCAGCAGCATGTCTGCCTGCACGCTACTGTATTCTTTGCCATGATGACAATGGACTAAACCTCTGAAACTGTAAGCAAGCCCCAATTAAATGTTTGCTGTGGTCACGGTATCTCTTCACAGCAATAGAACACCAACTAAGACACAGCATCTCATTCACCAAGATAGCCTTGAGCTTGCTATGTACCTGAGGGTCACCTTGAACTTCTGATCCTCCTGTTTCCAAATTCAAGAGGAAATAAAAGCACACCCAACTAAATGATAGGCTACTCTTAAGGTTTAGAGTTAAGATGTCTACATACCTAAATTTCTGTAGAGAGTTTATGTAACCTTAGAAGGCAAACAAACAGAAAACCTGATTGGTCAACTAACTGATAAGACCAAGTTTAAAAAAAAAACCTGCAAATGTCTAACTCTAACCAATTAAGTTATTTTTGCATTGTCTTTGTTTATAAATATTCACTGTCATTGATGCAGGACTTCTTCGGGTTCTAAGTGTGGCTCGATTCATGAGCCTTCTTTGCTCACACAAAATCGGTAACATTTGTTTGCTTACAGCTTTTTTATTTTTAAGATTTATTTTCTCATTTGCGTATGTGTGCATGTGTCTGTGCACGTGTCTGTGCAGGTGCAGGTGTATGTGCACGTGTCTGTGCAGGTGCAGGTGTATGTGCACGTGTCTGTGCAGGTGCAGGTGTATGTGCACGTGTCTGTGCAGGTGCATGTGTCTGTGCACGTGTCTGTGCAGGTGCAGGTGTATGTGCACGTGTCTGTGCATGTGCACGTGTCTGTGCACGTGTCTGTGCAGGTGCAGGTGTGTGTATGTGCCTGCGGAGGGCAGAAGAGAGCATCAAATGCCCTAGAGTTGGAGCTTGGGGCAGTCACGAGCAGCCTGAGAGAGGTTCTGGGGAGCACTGGCCCTCTGAAAGAGCAGCAAGGGCTCTCAATCGGGAGCCACCCTTCCCACCTGTCAGGTTTTTCTTTTAATACTATCACTACATAGGGTAAACCTAGGAATAAAATGCCGGCCTTGTCTGTGGAGAATTTCTTTCAGTTTTATGATTTTGAAAAGTTGAGCATTTGGAAGGCATTGCCCTTTTTCTTATCACGTGGTAAAGGAGTCTTGGAGTGCAGGCCACATTTCTCAGTATGCAGAAACTCTTAAAAGAGATTTCACACTGCCACTGCTATTTTACCAGAAATTGAACTGGCTGCAATTCTCAGGCCAGAGAAGCAAAAGCTTAGCCATTAGGGGAAAAAGGTTGATCCCTATATCACTGGTTAAATAATTAAGATATAAAGAGCATAAAACTATGAGATATAAATTTAAAATCTGAGGTTCATAAAAGTAACAAAACTTCATAGTTGTAACTTTGAAACTTCTCACAAAAAAAAAGAAAAAAATAAATGACCAATCCAGAACCAAAAAGGACAACAAATGGGGAGAGCATCTATGATATGTGTTCAAAGACGGGGGAGGGGGAGTAAAAAGCAAAACAAAACCTAGCAGTCATCATAGAGTCTCTGTGCACACTAGATCAGGGGCTCGGTTAGACGATCTGCCTTAGCTTGATGCTTTCTTCTCTCCAAGCATGCTCTCGCCTGCTGTTGCCTCTCTTGCAGTCTAGAGAGCCACTTCTCAGGTTTGAGGGCTCTTTATCTTCACCCCCATGATTTTTAGATAAGTAGGTAGCCACAATAAGAAGCTTATATTTAACAATTATACATAAAAAATATTCTTAGCTACTTGAAAAAAGAATACTACTTTGGATTACACAAGACCAATACTGTATCAGGCTGTCTTTATACATACGTAGAACATGCAGTTGTGTTATACATACATATCAACATGTAACAACAACAACTGAAGACGCCATGACTTTGAGAAGGAGAAGAGGATTGCAGAAGTTGGAGGGGGACAGGTAGGGGTGGAAATGATGTCTATACAGTACTCATCTATGAAATTCTCAATGTATATCATTTTTAAATAAAAACAATGCTATTTCACATAAACACTCTCGAAGTGTGTGCGTGTGTGCAACAAACAGAAAGGAATGACTGGTTAAACTTCTGTGGGGTAAAAGATCAAAATGAATACATCATCCGCAGATGTTGCTTTTGTTACATGGCTGGAGGTTTAATTTGCCAGTGCACACCTGATTATGGTATACACCTGATTGATTATGGTATGATAAAACAGAAAAAGAAAGCCTCAGACCTCAAAGGAGGGTTTCTCAGATTGGGTGGGCACTGGAAGTGCTCCTTGTTTACCCAGTGGAAGAACATCTGACTGGAAAGCGAATTAGGTTTAGAAGTTTTATCCAGACAGGTCCAGAGTATGTCTTCATAACACTTGATGTGACCACTTAAAAACCGACTGTGAAGGGGTTTCCTTCTTGCTGATCAACTCTGAAAATAGAGCAGGAAACCAAGTCTACGCAGAAAGCCTTGCCTTTAGGGGTTGTTTGATTTTTCTTCTTTCTTTTTGTCTTTCACTAAGTTCTTGACTTCTGATTTTAAAAGGGAAGAAAATCAAATTGGTTCCCATAGTGACAGAGGGTGATTCCAAGTCAGCGACTAAAATCAGTGTTTCCGAACCGCAGAGGAATTGCAGACAATAAATTTTACCCATGCCTTATCTACACGAATTGTTGTCGTTTCTCTAAGAGCTAATGCTTATCCTGAAACTCTTAAAGCAGACTGCATAGTTTCCTAAAGATGAAAACAAAATCCACATACATCAAAGATGACTAAAAATCCTATTACATTTCCTAAGTCAGCCTCTCTCTCTCAGCACTGCTTAAATACAAAAGCTGGAGCTTCACCTCTGCCAATTGCCACACCAAAGTAATAAAAGTATGTTTAAAAGCTTTAATATGATATGGGCGGTATTAAAGCAAATTAACTTGTCGATGATCAAACAAAAATTTGAACATAATTACTGGTGCTCTGATCGGTTTTCTGCCAACCTCAACCTTCAACCCCAGGAAACGGGGACAGTGACAACACGCATGTTCATGAAGGGAAAGGAGAGGACCCTTCTGAGTGTGAACCAGGAAAAATTTAAGAGCTCACATCTCTAGCAGCCACTCAAGGGCACCAGTCAGCGAAGGTGGCCCCGCCCCTCCAGGAAGCCCCGCCCAAGCCCCGCCCCGCTCGGGCCGCAGCCACTCACCAACATGGGGACTCCGTAGCACAGGGTCTTGTTCTTGCGCAGAGCGCGCAGCACGGCGGGCCCAACCATGGCAGAAGCTGCGGCCGGCTTCGCTCCTTTGGAGCGGCCCCAGAGCGATCCCTGGAGTCCAGCGGCCTCGCCCGCCTCCCAAGTGAAGTTGTAGACTGAGCACTGGCTTTGGACGCGGAGTCCTCGCCCGGTAGGCCTCCGCAAGTCCGAAGTAATCGAGTCGTCCTAACACACTCCGGTCCCCTACTCCCCGGAAGTCGAGGCCTCTGAGTTTTGGTTCCGGGACGCCGGGGACGATTGGATTTTCGCTTTGGAAAACCTGTAATTCTCATAGTCTGGATCTTGACTCGTGCCTTCTGGCCTGATAAACTCAGTTAAGGGGTATGGGTGTTTTTCTGAAGCTAATACACAAGTAGCGTGGGTAATTCAGCAGGTTGATGAAGACTTTAAATCGTGGCTTAAGTTATAACCTAACCTTTAATGTTAATACATGTGCGACACGGCCTGTAGTTAATGAATTCCTGTTTTCCATGGACTAAGCAACTTTACGACCCGTTTGTGTGCTTCTGGATGGCTCAAGGAACATGGAGACGAAAAAGAAAAAAAAAAAAACAGACCATCTAATGGAGACACCGACTAAGGTCTAAAGTAGGAGAGCTTGGGAGAACAAAACACCCACTGTGCCATTTTCCAGGCAGAGCCAGAGAAAACCTTTCAGTCTGTCCTTGGCTCTCTAATGCCACTGAAATGCTTCTGGTGTCGCCTCCCAAGTTGTCCCCACAGGAGAAGCTCCTTACCTCTTTAGGCTGAGGACTATGTCGGGGTGGGGGGGGGGTGGAGTGGGGGTAAAGGGGAAAGAGAGTGGCTGTGAAATTAACCTTCCACATCACCGGGAGACGGGTTAATACATAATGATGATCAGATTCTCTTGGCTGTGCCTCCATGCGTCACTATTTTTTGGTTGTTTTAACACGCTTAAAAACTTGGGTCTGGTGACTTTTCTGGAGTGGTGGTATGGTGTGGTTTTTTGTTGTTTTGCTGCTGTTCGTTCCATACTCCATCCTGGAAGACATAATATTCCTTATTGAATATGCCGTGAATTTCCACACCTTCGATATGCACCTCCTGGGACGCAGTGCTTGAAGTTCACTGTACTCTATAAATAGGCAACATGAATTATTCCCTCAGTGCTCCCATAGCCTTTGACATAGAACTTGCAACACTGTGTACTGTACCAGTTATAAAAGCATTCCCACTCTTATTAGTAAACAAGGAAACAGGAAGATAGCAACAATATTTCAGAGTTTAAATTTCAATATTGCGGGGAGGGGGGGGGGGAGACATCACTTGCATTAATCCAAAGGAAACTTTGATGTGTCCAGGACAGCCTTTATTAAAGTAAGGCTTTGTGTTCATCCCTTTCCTCCCTCCTGTTTCTGCACTTGACTGTGGAAGAAACATGCCGGCCAGGGAGTGAAGTAGTAGAAACAGAGGCTAGAAACACACGTGGGAGTATTAGAAGTGTGAAGATTTCCTGAAAAGAGTCAAGCAGAACTTAGGATTGGAGGAATAGGTTTATAATAATAGGGGTGCTATAACTTATGGATGGGGTCTCCTTCAGATTTATTCTTTTGGCCTGACCGTACTGGTCCCCCTGCACCAGAGCACTAGCCGAACAGGTGGAATTATTGTACCTTGCTTTGGATTACAAACTTTTGTTGTCTTAAAAAAATCTTTTCCGTGCAAAGATAAAACCATAAGGGGAGATAAAACTTATTTAAGTTGTTTTGGTTTGGTTTGGGTTTTTCAAGACAGGCTTTCTCTGTGTATCCCTGGCAGTCCTGGAACAAGATCTGTAGACCAGGCTGGCCTCAAACTCATAGATCCACCTGCCTCTGCTTCCTGAGTGCTGGAATGAAAGGCATTGGCCACTACCACCTGGGTACATGATTTATGAATATATTGTGAGCTGTATAGCACTTACATGTGGCATCATCTTATTCGCTTCCCTATGACATATCAAAACCCATGCAATGTCCACTTTACTTAAGTATATTACTTCTCTCTTCATCGGAAGTTAGAAGTCAAGGAGCCTGGCTCCCAAACTCTGGCTCTTTTCTGATCCCCTCACTCTGTACAAGATCATCTTTCTAAGCCATTCTCCACCAAAGCCCTGCACCCAGCTAGTAGTTTCTAATGGGTTTAATCCTATACATATATTTTAGATAATACTCTAACCAGAAGCCTGTTATCCTTTTCATATAAGGTATCTATCCAGATTCATATAGGGTAACAGGCTTCTCAAAGGTCACACTGTCAAGTAGTAGAGAAATTAGTAGATATTTTCCAAATATAACTTCTTATAGAATTGACTATTACCTCATTGAAAGTGGCTTCTATGGACATTTTATGAATCCTCCCCAACTTGCAGACTGTTTTGTTTCAGTCTTGTAACCCTTAAATTAGAGCCTTAAGTCCTAGAATGAGAAAAAACCCATAGATTCAAATGTTGGAATATTTGGTTCTCAGTTGGTGGAACTGTTTGGGGAGGATTACTACAGGGGACTTGGGGAATTAGCTCTTCCTTTCACCATTCAGGCTGTCAGGCTTGGTGGCAAGAACCACAACCCCAAGCTATCTCACTATTCCTTTCCCAATGATTAAACTTCGATTGTCTCCGACTCCTCTAGAGACTACTAAAATCTACTGTAGGCCCTATCACCAGTTTCTGATTTGAGCAGGTGAAGAATGGGACCTATGGTATGTTTTCCTAACAAGGTACCAGGTCATACTGAAACAGGGACACTTTGAGGATCTATGATCTATCTTCTGTCCCTAAACACATTTTGTCTTCAAATTTTAAATCACGGTGGGAGGGTTTCTGGTATATTGCTAAAAACTGGGAACCATAGCTTCATTCTGTAATCCCTACATCATGAGGCGGGAAGATCCATCCTATTTAATTTAAAGGCTATCAAGTTATTGACAGTTAACTGGAGTGTCTTCCTTCTCTGGAAGATGAATGTGAGATCTGTTATATGCCAATGCTGAAACATTATTTGTTAAGCTTTAGTTTTTACATGTATTTATTTTTGTATATGTGTGTGGGTGCCCGTGTCCTGTGGTGCTGTGGGCATGTGGAAGTCGGGAGACAAAGGAGGAGGGTCATTTCTCTCCTTCGTGATATGGGTCCTAGGGATCAAACTCAGATTGATGGGCTTGGAATCAGGCACATTTACTTGCTGAACAATCTCGCTAGGCCTGAACATTTCCAAGCCAGGTGTTTAGGTACATGCCTCTAAATTTCGGCATCTAGGAGGCTAAAGCAGGAGGACTGCGGGAGGCCAGTCTGGGCAACACAGTCACTTCCACATAGGCCTGTCTCAAAACAGGGCAAAAACATTCCAGAGAAACATATTTAGAAATATAAAGACAAGTTTGATTCTAGAGCAAGGCTACCTTTATCTCATGACTAAGTTTTTGCAAATAAAAGCATTACAAAATTGGCCAATGTATATGTATATTTTCTGTTAAGTGATTGAGTGACATCTGTTGTCCACAACTGGCTTTTAAAAATTGATGAGATATCACCGTACACATTTCTTATAAAACACTGACCATCTGAAAACAAACCTACCTAACTCAAAACAAACTACTCCCTGAAGTAATCAGTTGAAAAATAAAATGTTGCTGAGTCAAGCCCCCACCCTCATGCAGATTGGTTACCAAAGCATTGTGTAAAATTTATTCACAATGTAGTTTCACCTGGAGACAAGACATTAGGTCTCCAATTCACCTCCACAGGAGCCGGGTTCCAGGGTATTTCTGTGGCAAAGTGAGGTGGCCTATAACATAAGGAGATGTTACTTGAACTAATTTTTAAAGAAGGTAATCCGTGGTCTGTGCACATACAATCAAACCTCGTGGCTCTTCACGGGACACTTTCAAAAAGTTGGGGTCCATGCTTTACACTTTGACTCCTTTAAAATTCTGTATTAACTGGAGACAGTAACTTCATATCTCTTAAACCCCAAATTTCTATCTTCTACACAGGGAAAATAATAGGCTCATTTTAAGGAGTTTGTTTATAGTTGTGTGTATGTGTGTGCATGTGAATGCAGATGCCCTCGGAGACCAAAGGTAGCATGTCCCTTGTGTAGTGATATTCCATTTGTATTTTAATAAATAAAGCTTGCCTGAAGATCAGAGAGTAAAACAGCCCCACTGGTCAGCCTTACAGACCAGGCAATGGTAACACACCTTTAATCCCAGTAGCCACACTAGTTGCCATAGAAACCAGGCAGTGTACACCTTTAATCCCAGTTCTAGAAAGGATCATAAAATGGGAGGGGATAGTTCTCAAACACAGTCTCATTCTGAGATTCCTGGAGGGAGGATCACCATTTCGGACTGAGGTCGAGGTAAGAGTCAGTGGCTGGTTGTTTTGCTTTTCAGACGTTCAGACTGAACCCCAATTTCTCTGAGTTTTTATTAACTATGCATCACCCCCTGAAACTGGAGTTACAGATGGTTGTGAGCTAGGCAAACTGAGTGCTGGGATTCGAACTTTGGTTCTTTGCAAGAGCAGTACATGCTCCCAACTTCTGAGCCATCTCTTCAGCCTTGGTATACTTATTTTAAACAATAAATGAGAACACTTCTATAAAGTAAATGCCCAATATAGTTCAATATTTTCATGTGAATGCTTGAATCTAAAGAGTGGGATTCTGGCCATAATTGATGCTCACTTTTTTATTATTTTTTAATTTTTTAAAATTAATTTTACTTAGCAGTCATAATTCCCCCTCCCATCCCTCCTCCTGCTCCCCCCACTCCCCCCTAGCCCACTCTATCCACTCCTCCAGAAGGGTAAGGCCTCCCATGGGGAGTCTACAAAGCCTGGAACATTCAGTTGAGGCAGGTCCAACCCCTCTCCTCTGCATCAAGGCCGAGTAAGGCATTCCACCATAGGGAATGCGCTCCAAAAAGCCAATTCATGTACCACTCTTGGGCATATACACAAGGGATGCTTAATCATACTACAAGGACACTTGCTCACCTATGTTCATAGCAGCATTATTTGTAATAGCCAGAACATGGAAACGACCTAGATGCCCCTCAACTGAAGAATGGATAAAGAAAATGTGGTACATTTGCACAATGAAGTACTACTCAGCCGTAAGAAACAATGACATCAGGAAATTTGCAGGCAAATGGATAGAACTACAAAATATCTTGAGTGAGGTAACACAAACTTAGAAAGACAAACATGGTATGTACTCACTCCTAAGTGGATACTAGATGTAAAGCAAAGGATAACAAGATTGCAACCCACAGCTCTAAAGAAACTAGGTAACAAGGAAGACCCTAAGAGGGACAAAAAGTGTGGCATCCATACTACTATGTAGTGCAGAGCCTTAACTACGGGACTATTCGCCAGCCAGGCAAGGGCCTGGAGATTGAAACACACAAAGACACACAGACAGAGCCACGGGTCATCCTTGAAACAGGAATGCCCCCCCCCTTTATTGTGTTCAGGGACAACTTCTATAGGGATCCTTAACTGATAGCCACGCCCCAGCCAAACACACCAGAAACCACTCTCCTGCCATCAGGAACTCCTGAGGGTCTCGTGCTCAGAGCAGCTGCAAGCGTAACACATTGTTTACAAGAAATTCAGGATCTTGGGGATCACAGCTCCCAACAAAAATGGATCATCCTGGGAAGGGGAAATAGATGAGATATCCTGGGTAAACTGGAGATGGGGGTGGGGTGTTAGAGGGGAGGAGTTGGGGGCAGGAGTGG